GGCATTGGAGACAAGATGAAACTTAGACAAGTACGGACACATGGAACAAACAAAACAGGGTTGTCACTACAGAACTTCTTGCAATTTTATCAATTTGTTCAATGAGCTCCTCAGGTCACTTTCCGCCTGGCATTGCATCGAAAATGGTTTCGATCGGCGCACGGGAATCGGCGCAACCGATGATAGCGGTGTGAGGTGCCTGGCCATCCTCCACCAGCTGCTGACGCGCTGCCGCCTTGGTCTTGGAACCCCAGGGACAGCCGCTCACGAAGCGACTGTTGCCGTCCTGGGAGATGCTGAAGGATACCAGTTTCACCCTATTTGTTGCCCGAGGATTTCCACTTCCCCAAAACAGAAGATGTATGAAGACGTTTACAGTACAACATCACCTTTCTGCGGAGCTCCCCGGGTGATCTTCCAGGCCTCACATCCCCAGCCCTTAGGGCTGTCCTTCAACAGAGTCGCAGCCTCTTCAGGGGCCAAGGGTACATCCAGGGTGGTCCGCACGTGTCTTTCTGGCCGAGAGCACAGCTCCATGCCATTGGCCAATTGACGAATGAGAGAGAAAACCATAGCGGACCTCAGCGCCGTGGTGTTCAAGCCAACTATTTAAGGATTCAAGTCCTCAAAATGGTTCGAAATGTTTGACCTTATACAATCAAAAAGCCAGCATCTGCGTGTGCTTGTGTGTATGTGGCGTACATGTCTGAGTCTGCGTATGTCTTATGTAGTCTTAACTTTAGCGAATATGCATACTGTACCAGTAGTACCGCACAAGGTGGTGGCGGAAGTTTCAGAAATAGGAAACCTATAGGAGAAGTTGGTTGTTGTGAATCACGGATGGCAGAGCGAATCCACTGACGCACCGGAAGGTGGTTGGAGCTGTGTTTTTTGGAGTGGTTGCAATGGTTGCAGTGGCCACCTCACAACAACTGCTGGCTGCAGAGTGGTGTAGCGCAGTTGTAGTTGTAGTTGTAGTGTAGCGTAGTGGAGTCGTAGTTGTAATGTAGTGTTGTAGTGTAGTGTAGTTGCAGTTGTAGTTGTTGTGTGGTGAGTGTAGTGTAGTGTAGTGTAGTGTAGTGTAGGTAGGGGGGTAGGGGTAGGGGTAGTAGTGTAGTGTAGGTGTAGTGTAGTGTAGGGTAGGGTAGGGTAGGGTAGGTGTAGTGTAGGTGTAGTGTAGGTGTAGTGTAGTGTAGGTGTAGTGTAGGTGTAGTGTAGGTGTAGTGTAGGTGTAGGTGTAGGTGTAGGTGTAGTGTAGGTGTAGGTGTAGGTGTAGTGTAGTGTAGGTGTAGTGTAGGTGTAGCGTAGGTGTAGTGTAGGTGTAGTGTAGGTGTAGTGTAGGTGTGGTGTAGGTGTAGGTGTAGGTGTCGGTGTAGGTGCAGGTGCAGGGGCAGGTGCAGGTGTAGGTGTAGGTGTAGGTGTAGTGTAGGTGTAGTGTAGGTGTTGTGTATATGTAGGTGTAGGTGTAGGTGTAGGTGTAGGTGTAGGTGTAGGTGTAGGTGTAGTGTAGGTGTTGTGTAGGTGTTGTGTAGGTGTAGGTGTAGGTGTAGATGCAGGCGCAGGTGCAGGTGCAGGTGCAGATGTAGGTGTAGGTGTAGGTGTAGCGTAGGGTAGTGTAGTGTAGTGTAGTGTTAGTGTGGTGTGGTGTAGCGTAGCGTAGTGTAGCGTAGCGTAGCGTAGTGTGTGGTGTGGTGTGGTGTGCGGTGTAGTGTAGTGTAGCGTAGCGTAGCGTAGTGTAATGTAATGTAATGTACTGTACTGTAATTTATAGTTTAGTGTAGTGTTGTGCAATTGTAGTGTAGTTGTAGTTGTATTTGTAGTTGTAGTGTACTGCAGTGTAATAAGTGTAGCCCAGTGTAATGCAGTGTAGTTGTAATCTTAGTTGTAGCTGTGGTAGTGGCGGTGGTGAGGGTAGTAGTAGTAGTAGTAGTAGCAGTAGTAGTAGTAGTAGCAGTAGTAGCAGTAGTAGCAGTAGTAGTAGTAATAGGAGGAGGAGTAGGAGTAGGAGTAGGAGTAGGAGGAGTACGAGCAGGAGTAGTAGAAGTAGTAGTAGTAGAAGTAGTAGAAGTAGTAGAAGTAGTAGAAGTAGTAGAAGTAGTAGAAGTAGTAGGATTAGGATTAGGAGTAGGAGTAGGAGTAGGAGTAGTAGTAGTAGTAGCAGTAGTAGTAGTAGTAGTAATAGTAGTAGTAGTAGCAGCAGCAGTAGCAGCAGTAGTAGTAGCAGTAGTAGTAGTAGTAGGAGTAGGAGTAGGAGTAGTAGTAGGAGTAGTAGTAGTAGTAGTAGCAGCAGCAGTGGCAGTGGTACAGGTAGCAGGTAGCAGGTAGCAGGTAGCAGGTAGCAGGTAGCAGGTAGCAGGTAGCAGGTAGCAGGTAGTAGTAGCAGGTAGTAGTAGCAGTAGTAGTAGTAGTAGTAGTGGTAGTAGTAGTAGTAGTTGTAGTTGTTGTAGTAGCAGAAGTAGTAGTAGTCGTCCTCCTCCTCCTCGTCCTCGTCCTCGTCCTCGTCCTCGTCCTCGTCGTCGTAGTCGTAGTCGTAGTCGTCGTCGTAGTAGTAGCAGCAGCAATAGTAGCAGTAGTAGCAGTAGTAGCAGTAGTAGCAGTAGTAGCAGTAGTAGCAGTAGTAGCAGTAGTAGCAGTAGTAGTAGTAGTAATAGGAGGAGGAGGAGTAGGAGTAGGAGGAGTACGAGCAGGAGTAGTAGAAGTAGTAGAAGTAGTAGAAGTAGTAGAAGTAGTAGAAGTAGTAGTAGTAGTAGTAGTAGGATTAGGAGTAGGAGTAGGAGTAGTAGTAGGAGTAGTAGTAGTAGTAATAGTAGTAGTAGTAGCAGCAGCAGTAGCAGCAGTAGTAGTAGCAGTAGTAGCAGCAGTAGCAGCAGCAGTAGTAGCAGCAGTAGCAGTAGTAGTAGCGCTAGTAGCAGCACTAGTAGCAGTAGTAGCAGTAGTAGCAGTAGTAGTAGCAGTAGTAGCAGTAATAGCAGTAGTACAGGTAGGAGCAGTAGTAGCAGTAGTAGCAGTAGTAGCAGTAGCAGTAGCACTAGTAGCAGCACTAGCAGTAGTAGCAGTAGTAGTAGCACTAGTAGCAGCACTAGTAGCAGTAGTAGCAGTAGTAGTAGCAGTAGTTGCAGTAGTAGCAGTAGGAGAAGTAGGAGCAGTAGTAGCAGAAGTAGAAGTAGAAGTAGAAGTATATGAAGTAATAGTAATAGTATTATTATATTAGTAGTAGTAGTAGTAGTGTAGTAGTAGTAGTAGTAGTAGTAGGAGTAGGAGTAGTAGTAGTAGTATTATCAGTAGTAGTATTATCAGTAGTAGTACTAGTAGTAGTAGTAGTAGTAGTAGTAGTAGTAGTAGTACTAGTAGTACTAGTAGTACTAGTAGTACTAGTAGTACTAGTAGTACTAGTAGTAGTAGTAGTAGTAGTCGTAGTGGTAGTAGTAGTAGTAGTAGTAGTAGTAACAGGAGTAGTCGTAGCAGCAGCTGTACAAGTGGTAGTAGTAGTTGTAGTTGTACTTGTTGTGTAACTAGTGTAGTGTAGTGTATTAGTAATGTAGTATAATTTAATGGAATGTAGTGTGTGGTGTAATTAGATGTGATTAGTGTAGTGTAATTAGATGCAATTAGTGCAGTGTAATTAGATGCAAATAGTGTAGTGTAATGTAGCGTAGTACATTTGCATTTGTAGTGGTAGGAGTAGTGTAGTGTGGTGGTAGTTGTAGTTGTCTATCTATCCACCTGTCTATCTGCAAGCTTGAAAACGAAGCTATTCTGCAAGACTTCCTCATTTTTTAACTTGACAACATCAAAAACGCAGCAATTCTGCGAAACTTCCTCATGTTTCGAAGTTGACAACATCAAAAACGAAGCAATTCTGCGAGACTTCCTTCAAAAATGGAAAGTTGAGTGCAGAGCTGACGGCCTCGTACCAATGCGTTTTGCGATTTTTCCACTCCACCTGTCTAAAGTATTGCGCCTGCCACGAAATAAAAAGTGAGGCCAGGTCATATGAAGTGCTGCACCTGTCACGCAAAATCATCTTCCCAAAACTGAAGATCTGATGCTCCAAAATGCAACCCCTCTCAGGAAATCAGCGCCCGGACCTCCTAACATCTCTGATGAACATGTCTCTTGTACTGCGCCTGCCACGGAAAGTGCATCTTTGCAGATCCTCTTCAAATGTCCCACGCCTGCTCACGTTTTTCTCACCTCTGACCATGTGCACAATCCCCTGCGCCTGCCACGCAAAACGACATCTGAACGTCAAAAAGTGCTCCGTACCCGTCAGTTTTTTTTTGCACTTTTGACTTCGAAATGTGATTCGCGCCACAACAGTGCGCACTTTTTCGACATGTCAACTTCCAAAAGTGGTCCGAGAATGGTTTTCTTTGTACATTTTGACTTGGACATGTGCTTCGCGCCACAACGGCGTGCACTTATTCGACATGTCACCTTCCAAAAGCGATCCGACACTGGGGTCCTTCGTACATTTTGACTTGGAAATGTGCTTCGTGCCACAACGGCGCACACTTTTTCGACATCGCAACTCCCAAAAGTGGTCCGACACTGACGTACATTTCATTTTGACTTCAAAATGTGCTTCGTGCCACAACGGTGCGCACTTTTTCGACATCGCAACTTCCAGGAGTGGTCCGACACTGAGGTGTTTTGTACATTTTGGCTTCGAAATGTGCTTCGCGCCACGACGGTGTGCAATTTTTCATCTCTCTGCCCAGATGCAGCCCAGATGGCTCCGCACCCGCCGCTTTACCGAGCCCACTTTTCGACCCTCTGGAGCCACAAATCATCGGAAAAACAGAACACAGTGTTTCGTTTCGCGACTTTCCTACCTTTTCGCGCACCTGGATCTTCTTTCTTCTGACTTTTTCTTCTTTGATCTTCTTTTTTCTTCTCTTCTCTTCTCTGACTCTTCCCGACTCTGCTTTTCATCTGTCCATATTGTCGAAAGCTTGACTTCTAAACTTTCTTTGTATATATACACACAAATATGATCAAATATCTAAAGCATTGCCTAGGTACGAGTATCTTCACAAAATCGATTTTGTTCCCCTTGGGATCCCTTGGGTGATTCTTTATCGTGTGAATCTTCATCCCGAGGTCCACACGGTTTTCAGCACATTCGCCCAGGCTGTGTGCGCAAGGATTGAGCCAATGCTCTGAGGCAAGTTTAGCAAGCATCAGATTCATCCAACACATTGCCACAGCTCTGGGTTTGCTGGACATTGCTGGACTACTTTTATCTACTTTTCGCACCTCTTCAGGTCAGCAGTCCGCATTCACACTTGTGCGATTGTTTTGCGTGTTTTGTCTCCAATGTGGCAGGTCAGAATAGAAACTGGCCCAACTTTGCACATCACATGGCATTCACACATTTGATTCTTTTCTGTGACTGGGCTTGGGTGCCAATGTGGCAGGTCAGGATAGAAACTGACCAAACTTTGCACATTGTATGGTCCCAGAAGGTACCATTCGCGGTTTGCTGAGGACATGCTGCTGTCAACAAGAACCTCGCAAGTGAAGCCAGCTGTGCACTGACTCCACCCTGATGAAAAATATGGCAATAAAGCCACCATAACTTTAGAATAAAAATGCATGTGCAAAAGCCGTTGCTTTTGCAGCTACACTGCAAGCTTATGAGCAGTAATTACAATGAAGCACCAGCGATACTCTGATGCGCCAGCGCAACACTTGTGCATTCTTAAACAATGCAACAAACATTTGCGTGTCACTAGTAGACGTGATCCTGTCCGGTAGCTCAACGTCATCAACTGCACCAAAAAGCAAGTTGTGGCAATTGGGTAATTCATCAACTTCTGCTTGGACATATCCACGAAACTTCAGAATCTTCACTCTGGCATTGTTGCATTTCCTTTACATTTATATATATATATAACTGTACCATACGCCAGACTTTCATGCGGCCTCAGACTTTCTGTCTCCCACCCGGATTCGGATGCCATCCCAGTGCCATCCCAGATATCCCAGTGACCAGTCCGTGCCGGTCCGTGCCGGTCCGTGCCGGTCCGTGCCGGTCCGTGTCGGTCCGTGTCGGTCCGTGCCTAGGCCCCATGCATCTTGTCCTTCAGCGAAGGAGCCACAGTGCTCTTACCTGCGACCAGCTTCGACTGAGAGGGGCTGCAACCCAAAAACCTCAGACAGGGCGAAGCGGCAACCCAGGATCCATTCGTCAGGTCGATGACAGTAGCCTAGAGGTATGGAAGCACCTTTGAACAGAAGAATGCCAAACATAGAACAAAAAAAGAAGATAAAAGAATGATCTATATCGAGAAACCTGGAGAAGTGACTGGAATTTCTCCATCTGCATTCAATCCGTGTGAATTCAAACTTTATTCAGGAACCGCACAGCGATGCAAGCCATCTCTATCATCTGGCATCCCAGAAATGGAGGGACGTGCATTCACAAAGAAACAGCGTTAAGGATTTTGTTCAAGCAAAATCGAGGAACTCACCGAAAAAGATGAATCCGACAATCAGGGTCACCTCCAAACACACCAAAAATAATTATCCAAAATCAGAAGCGGAAATCCCCAAGAATGGCACATGAGTGAAACCATAGTGTGATGAGGATGATGGCCATGTCTATATCATCACCTTCCTGCTACAAGCAGCGACTCAATTGAACCAGGAAGTCTTCAGCCGAGACTCTCCACACGTCCGGACTTCAAGTCATAGACTCCTCCATGGATCTCCAATTTGCCTCTGGAAACCTGCCAAGTGCCGCGCAACTCAAGTGAGGCTTGACCACTGTGAAACTCGCAAAAGAAGTGACCATGATTGACCATGTCTCAAAATTGTTTGATACTACCTGCACATAAGTCGCATAGCAAAGTTTGTGGCTGTGGTCCTTTGGCGTTCATCTTTCAACCATTCTGCTGGTGCCTTCTCGCGGATGGGCTCGCTGTGCCTCAGAAACTGGCAGCTTCAACATGTCTGTGACTTGACTCAAAATCTCACCAATAAGCCTCAGTGAAATAAGTCACCCCTCTTCGGCAGGTTTGGCATTTGACTCAATTGACTCAAAAGCACCTGCATATCTGCATCATATCTGCATAATATCTGCAGTCAGCCGATCCGAGGGACTGCATGAGGAAATTCATGGTATGGAAGACGTTGAGCTTCACAGCGAGTCCTGCGACTTCCTCCTCTGTTGCCTGCGCCAGCCATCGCCAGCAATGCGTTGTTGGGAGCTGATGTGTGTTTGTACCGTATCGCTTTCGCATTGTTTACTGAGTTTACTGCTTGCTTATGCTTGCTTACATCATTTACATCTGCACATTGGGACTTCAGAGAGCAGAAATGTTGACCCTGAACGGTAACATGCGCTGACCGCATCCAAGCGCTCCTCCGAGTACCCCACCATGCCCCGCCTTGTCCCCAGCTTCGGCCACCGCCTGAGCCACCACTGTGTCGAGACCCTTCAGAAGTACATCCAAGGCATTGTTGGCCTCGGCCGCCAATGGCAAAAATGGCACGGTCATCTACCAATAAAATCCCAACTTGAGGCCCACGGTTAAATTTTAAAGTGCCCAAAATCAGACTTTTAGCACGGCCTTTTGCAAGGGAAATCTGGATATAGACAAAGTCTACTGCTTTGAAACTGAGCTGCCTTCGTCGGCTGCTTCTTGGCCGCAAAGTATGCTGCCGTCGCCCCCTTGATGGCACCGCAGTTGGTATGTCCCAGCACAAAGATCAGCTGGGTGTTGAGGGCCCCGGTGCAGAACTCCAAGCTGCCCAAGATACTTCCCTCAGCGTGTGTGCAGGTGTTTCCAGCGTTACGCAGAACGAACAGATCACCAGGAAGAGCATCGAAGAGTGTCTCCAGCGGACAACGCGAATCCGCGCAGCCCACGATGGCCGTGTGGGGCGCCTGACCTTTGGTTGCCAAAGCCTCGCACATGCTGCGATGCACCTTTCCAGCAGCAGGAGCACCCACCACGAAGCGCTCGTTTCCCTCTTTCAGGGTCTGCAGGGCCAACCTTCAATGATTCAATGAGGGATCAACATGGCACAAGTCTTGAAGATCATCATGAATGATCATGAACCATATTATATGTTGCAAAGTCATGGATTTACTTGGCATGCTGCATGATACCTAATGTTGTTACTATTTACTATTTACTGTCTCATCGATCGCAAATCGTGAACCATGTTGAAATGGGCCGAACTCCAACAATGTGAACTGTTTATGACATGGTGATGGCTAAAAAATGCTAAAAAACTTCTCACACCATCCACAGTTCCCATGTGGCAAGTGACTTGGGCGCCACGATTCCGTCTTGAGATGTGCGGATGGCACCAAGGGCCATGGATGGTGGCAGCGACAGATCCGACGACAACAGCTCCGCTTGGCGTGGGGATTGACCCAGAAACTCCACTCGGCCAGTCTCGAGGTGATAGATGCCGCCCTGGATGTCCAACTCTCCCTTGCGGACCAACTCACGCAATGGCTCACTGAACTTCAACAGGAAATCCATGGAATGGAAGACGTTCACCTTCACAGCATGCGCCACCAGCTCTTGCTGGGAAGCACCTGGGCACAGCTGTTCACTGGCATCCTTCGCCACCACGGCAAGACCCTGCAACAACCCCTCCAAAGCGCAGCCAGGCGCATTGGTGGCTCCTGCTTGGTGGGTCGCAGTGGCCCCAGCAATGGCACCACACTGGGTGTGTCCCAAGACCAGAATCAACTTGCTGCCTAGCTTGCCGGTGCAGAACTCCAATGAGCCAACGATGGATCCCTCGGCATGCGTGCACGTGTTCCCAGCATTCCTCAAGACAAACAGCTCCCCAGGCGTTGCGTCGAAGACCGTATCGACCGGGACGCGAGAGTCGGCGCAGCCAACAATGGCACTGTGGGGCGCTTGGTTGTGTTTCACCAACGCCTTGCGCATGGCATCCGAAGTCTTGCCAGCAGTTGGGGCACCGGCAGCAAAGCGCTCGTTGCCCTTCTTCAGCATCGACAACGCCAAGTCAGACGGCACCCTTTCATCCGCACCGGTGCGCACACCATGCAAACCTCGCTCCTCCTCTGTGACCATGGAAGGTGGGATGGCCATGCTGCTGTCCAGCAATTCTTTCTGCAAAGGAGACTGGCCCAGAAACTCCACAGATCCAGTCTCCAAATGGTAAATGCCACCTGAGCCACTGTTTTGACCACTCCGGGTCCCTTCACTGGTTTCAAGATATTTCATGACATCCTGCCTGGCATTAACTGGCATCAACCCCCAATGAACAACCGTCGGTCGGAGATACATCCACACGCTTGGGGCTCTGAAAATGCTAAATTATGGTTGCAAATTTGTCAAAATACATGCTTCTATCATCTTATACCCTTCTACCTCCATCAGCCAGAGAGAGTCTAGGTTCTCACTATTTCTCACTCCCACATTCTGACCCTGACGGGCTAGTAACGGTCAGAGTCTAGACAGTCACGTAGCCGACGTAGCCCCACCTTGGATCTGAACTTGTCCAGTCTTGACCATCTCGCGGATACTCTCGCTGAAGCGCAAGAGAAAGTTCATGGTGTGGAACACGTTCACCTGTCGACGGAGTCACCCATCTCAAACCAAGCTGGTCAATTGGAATCACATGGAATCACGAGTTATATTTTCAGAATTTGGGGTTTGAATTGAAACGATGACATCTTTGAAACTGCGATGGTCAATGAAAAAGCTCCTGTCAAAAAGTGACAGCGCTGATTGGTTTTCACCCTGGGGCAACCTGTGATATGAAGCATAGATGAAGCATAGGTCACAAAATGTCACAAGTATTCACCTGGATTGCAACCATCTGCTCTCGGCATGCCCGGCCTTCACAGCATGAGCGGCCACTTCATCCGAGCTTGCCCCCGGTCCCATCTCCTGCGCGGCTTCTTGGGCCACGGAGCCAAGATCTTGGAGCAGCCCCTCCAAAGCGGATCCTGCCACCTCCGTTGCCAATGTTTGGCCATCTAAGATCATATAAGTTGCCATATCTTGACACTTTTTCTTTGCAGAAAAGTAGTAAAAAGAACAACATCCTGGAGAGCCTCTGTCTACCACTTAGTTACTTCTAAATTGGTTCAAGCGAGGTTGTAAAACACCTGCCTTCTTTCCTGGCTGCGAATCCAAGTAGGTCTTTGTCGCCCCGTAAATGGCACCGCACTTGGTGTGGCCCAAGACCAGAATCAAACGGCTACCGAGCTTTCCGGTGCAGAACTCCAAGCTGCCAACCATCGATCCTTCCGCATGTGTGCAAGTGTTTCCGGCGTTCCGAAGCACGAAAATGTCACCTGGACAATTGATGGGAGCATTGGGCGCACAAAAGTGTATATGACACCAAAATTAAAATCATAAATTAATATGAACAAATTGAGGGTATGGAGGGATGCTAAGCATCTTTCGCAGCCAATTTACTACTCACTCTGCTCCTTTGGCTGCAAGCACAATTGGCCGCATAGGCAGCTGAACAAGGTAGCAAGGTAGCGGAAGAGGAAGAGAGAGAGAGAGAGAGAGTTGATTCAGAGAAGGGCTCAAAGGGGGTGGCCCAAAGAACAGGACACTCAAAAAAAAGCGCTGAAGTAAGAGGTAGCTCGGAAAAGAAATATGTCACGCACAGAAATGATGCATGGGGTGGCTCAGAGAACAGGTAGATGAGTAGTCCGCAGCCGTAGTTGAGGAGAGAGGCAGCTCAGAGCAGAGGCAGTTGACATCAGTTGACGAGAGAGGTACAGTAGCTCAAAGGAAAGGTAGGTCCGAGGAGAGGGAGGCAAGGCAGCTCTGGGGAGGAGCTGAGAGGGTCATTCACTCAGGCAACCAGCCATGCATGCAATCGGACGCTCAGCCAGCAGCCCTTCCAATGCTATTTTCCTATACCCACATCCAATGTTCGAAACTTCCACTCAGGCGCGGCCGGGCACTACGTGGAGCAAATATGCAGAGGCAACGCAATCTCTTTCGTTTACATGCTCAAGTATGGTTTTCTCATTTTTTGAAAGCATGATGAAAGCAATGTATATTATAAATTATTATAATACGTGCTCCCCTGTGCCAGTCATTTTCCCGGCCACTTTCCTGGCACCTGGCATGGTGTCGAAAATGGTTTCCAGCGGCGCGCGGGAATCAGCGCAGCCAATGATGGCGGTGTGAGGCGCCTGGCCATCCTCCACCAGCTGCTGACGTGCTGCCTCCTTGGTCTTGGAACCCCAGGGACAGCCATTCACGAAGCGACGGTTGCCGTCCTGGCGATGGGATCGTTGATCATTCTCCGTCGCATCAGTGGCATCTAGCAGCACACCGCTGCTGTGATTTGCACCATGCATGTTCAATCATCTTTCAATAAACCCGGTATGCTGTGGAACACCACAAATTCCAATCCCAACTTGTCCGAACTGTGCGGGGGAGACAACCTGCACATTTTCAGCCGTCAAAAACCACCAAATTCTTCCCCCCAACTGCCTCCTTAGACACTCAAGGCACTCTCCCCACATCAGCCCCTGTCCTTCAGCAGCTTCATCGCCTCCTCCGGGGCCATGGGTGGATCGATGGTGGTTCGGACCTGCCGTTCCGCTGGCTGAGAGCACAGGGTCATGGCGTCCACCAACTGACTGATCACCGATGAGGCCATGGCCTCAGGGCAGAACTGGCTGGGCTCTGTGAAAAAGGGTGAATTCATGGGAATTCTGTGAAAAAGAGATTTAAGATGATTTAAGGATGGCCTACTTTTTACAACCCAGATGTTCTATGGCTATGGCATCTATGTGATGAATCAAATGCCCGAGTGGATAAAACAATTGTCTATATATAGTAAGTTGTCTTTCTGCAAAGTTCGAAATCAATTTTCAAGTTCGTTTCTGAACGCTTCGACATATCCGCAGTCAACGGTGAAGTTACTACGCTGATTCTGCTGTGGCTCTGAGGTCTGTACGAAGAATCAGCACAATGATCAGGGCGGGACACGCGAGGATTTTGAGCAAATGCTTTGACTTTGACGGTGAAAAGGAGAATCAATGCATATCTGTTGGATTCTGTTGGGCATGGAACCACAGATACCACAGAACTGAGCTGCTAGACAACTTTGCCTTCCAGATGAGTCCACTTTGATGTTGATATCAAGCAAGCTAAGGATAGAAACCAGCGCAGCTATACGAAGCTGAAACATCACATCTTGCGATCCAGTACAAGAAAGAAAACACCCCAAGTCTTGGCTTTTAAAGGTTCCCAGCCCCAAAAACAGTTCATTTTCAAAAAGCAATATAGATGATAATAGATGTACATATCCCAGAGGGAAAATCTGCAGAAACCCTCTACAGTTGGGCCTCCAGCGCCAGCTTCTGCGCAGCAGGGCCACGTTCCCCCGAACGTAGCCGTTGCAAAAACCTCGTTTTTTACACCAGAACGAAAAGTGGATCGAAATGGTGATTCAAATGCAAACCAAAATGGATCTCAATCTTGGTTTGTTTCCAACCCAAATCAGAATTCTTACTCAAACCAATATGGGAATTTCATGGAACCAACCGCCGTTGGCGAAAATATCGAAAATCTTTGCTCGCATTGAAGGGATGTCTGCAGGTTGATAATTCGTGAATGCTTTTCCAAACCATTGTATTCTCGGGGTACACCACGTTCAAGCCCATTATCATCCTATATAAGCCTATATCGTCCGATATCATCCTATAGTACCCCCAAAAAAATGGAGAAAAATCTTTCCAGGATGGTGAAACTAGATGATATTTACAGTAATATATCATATATAACATAATATATTGACCGATTTACCACATATTTTCAGGTTCCCACTTTTATCACTGTTCTATCTATTTTGGGGTTGCTAATATGATATAACAATATATAACATATAATTATCCACATCGATCATTGATCCGCAGGGTTGCCCTAATTTTCCTGAGGCAGCTGCTTGGTCATGCTGGGCATAATGGCCTTCTGGACTTTCGGGGCTCCACCTGCTGTCTTCCAGAGACCTCAAAGGTAACGACGGCGAACTGCGAACATTAAATCGCTATGAAATATCATTGACATATTATTGTGGAATATCTAAAGTATTCTAAAGTTATATCAAATGATCATCAAAATGATCATCAATGAAAACCAATGATCATCAATGATCTATATCGAATTGATCCAACATCTTGACCGATTTTGCTTCGGTTGAAGTCAAAGGCCAGGAGCTTAAACAGGTCTTTCACGGAGCAAAGAGATACATTTAAAACACCAATCATTACACAATGCCATGGAAATCAAGCCCATGGCCATTCGCAACTCGCTTGACGGATGCATCTCCGTCATACCTGCTGGAAACATCTGGAAACAAAGCGCTGTGCGGAACAGATTCATGTTTTGAGGGCAAGGGACAGCATTCAGATCTTCAAAGAGAAAACGGCGCATAAGTTTTAAAGCTGTAAACTGCCAGGGCTTTAAACTGCTAATGGCGTGAGGCCTTACTCTAGGGTCTTTCGATGGTGATGAGGGTGATACCACGATGGCAAGCAACTCATCTAAACTCGCCGAAAGTGCTGGGATTTTGCAAACACAAACCGTTCAGAGACTGTTCATGCTCTAGAGAGGCTTTGACTCGCAAAAGTCCACTGCGTTTCTTGCAACAAAGAGCAAGAACATGCACATCATTGCTTGCCAGTGTCCAATCATCCCTTAAATGAGGATGGTTGCCATTAATAGAATGTTTTGCATATCATAAAATATCAGAAAATGTAATGGACACCAGCTATGGATACCATGGATCCATATCCATTTATCCACAAGGAAGTCTATGTCCCACACCTGGCGAGGAAGATCAACAGCAGCACCCTTTCCCTGGTGGCTTTGTTGGAGCAGTCCTGGAAGATGCACTGCAAGATCCAACGGGGAAATTCATCGGATGTGGATCTGCTGTGTCCTCAGTGGTAAGGAGATCTTGTCCAAACTTCTTGTGCTCCAAAATCTTCTCAGCCACCTTTCAACAGAAAACATGGAAGCAACTGCGAGCAACTGTAAGCAACCTCAGGTGTGAGATTCAAGGAGATAAAATTTGGATAAAGATTGGGATACTGAAACTGCAAAAGTTGTTTCTGAGTGTAAATTGATCCATATCCTATCATACAAGATCAAGAGACATTTCAGAAACTAGCTACAGCTACAAGTAGCTCAGAAAACATGCGGCGCAGCGCCCTTTGTTTCCTTCCCGTCCCGGCCTTGCCCAGTAGCACCACCGTCTTCTCGCGGGTCACGGAATTTCTCGCTGCCTCCTCGGGGGAGTCGTTCTGCAGAAGGCAACAGTAGGCCCCCTCGAAGCCGTCCAGCAAGCTATGTGGGCCTGGCAGCTCGGTTCATACAAAATATGGATCAATTATGATCAATTGATGTATAACCCTCATGAGGTTCCACAACTCCAAAAATGAGGCTCTGTCTGAGATTCTGGGAATAGTATTGAATAGTATACTGTACCTCCAAAATGACTATTTGCATAGAAAAAGTCGGAAAAGTGGTGATGAACAGTGATAAACCAATGGATGGAATGGGCTTTTTCCCATGTTTCCCCACCAGACAGACACAAGAAGAGTCAAGAAGTTCTTTTTGTTTTTCTTCAGATGTTTAACATATTTCACCAGCTAACCAGCGGTTCTATGTCGTTTTTTAACCAAATTTCAAGCGACCGGGGCTGCTATTGTCACCGAGCGACAAAGATCACCAAAGCGCTGTACCAACGCCAAGGCCGCCCGATGCCCGGGGTCCTCGCGTTAAGAGCCCGTTTCCAACAGCCGGAAATTTAACGGGAGATCCAAAGATCCACCAGGCTGCCAGGTCCTAATCATCCGGAGAAATATGAAGAAATATATGATGAAATATGAAGAAATATGATGAAAGATGATGAAAGATTGGTTGCTATTGAGAATGGATTCGTATTAGGCTTACCTCGCTCGCAATACCTGTGGAATTCAGAAAGGCCCTGGAATCAGAGAAAAATCTGCAGTCGAACCTGGATGGTCCCCAGTTATAAGCTGGTTTATAAACCATAGGAACTGTTGCTAACTATACGTAGTTATAAGATTGTTATAAGTATCATAAGCCATAGTGACTGGATGTGACTGGATGTGACTGGAGTTATTTGCACCAACTTAGCTAACTATGCTAACTGGATGGTCCTCCGAATTTCAAGACAAATCTGTGCGGTATCAGATGTATCAGTGCTCTGCTAAGCTCTGCTAAGCTCTGCTCACTGGTTGGTCCCCCGTGTCCTCGTTCTGGTCTTTGTCACCTGCGAATCTCAGCTGAGTTTTTGTGCTGCCCAGGTGCAGCAAGTTGTGTCATTCTGGGTGAGCTAAGTCATGGAATGCCCTGGCTTTCATCAATACATTGTCAATACATAGCTATTGCATAGCTGGGACTGATGTTCATCCTCCCAAATTCGTTGGCACCTGTAATTCCCATCAACATCGCCGGGAAAAGCGACTCGATGTACGGTACAAAATCCATCTTCATAGCCTCACGAGGCACAGCACATCTCAGGACAGCTTACGACAGATTTTCTTCGACTGGTTCCTGAACTTTCATGAACTGTTTATGGGCCAAAACATGCAAAAACCCTGGTACCCATAGGTACCCATAGGTACCCAATTTATAGCTGGTTAATGGATGTTAATGGATGGTTCTTCCCCAAAAAATAATGAGTGACAATAGGTTTTGACCCATCCCCAACTATGTCACGATGTCAGAAAATGTCCGACTGCCCGCCTGCGGCATCGTGTCCATCAGCTCAAGGAATCCCCTCCTGGCTGAGAATCGAAGCTCTACAACTGGAAACAGGACCCCGGCTGCCCATATGGGGCCCATAGCTAGCAAACTCAACAACTAGCAAAACACTGTACAATATCCCTGTGTAGTTCAACCCATCTTGCTCCAAACAAGATGCAATAAATTGGCATCCACAAATTCCAGATCTTGGATCCCGAATAATGAGGTAAAGTCACCAAGAAAATCATAGCCCATCTACCCAATTCTACCCGTTTGGTGGATATGTGTAAAAAAACGTGGAAAACACATTCCCAAAACCGAACCGGGGGCAATGATAGGGTTTACCATGGTTCACCACACCAAGCATCACATGGCTTTCTCAAAACATAGAGATTTTTTTTCGGTGCATTCCATGCCATGGACAGTCATCACAAACGTGCCTCAGTGCAAAAAAAAGCCATGCACACCCAAACAATGAATAAAAGAGGGAACGTTGTGGATCAAAATCTGACCTTTATCATCCTTTGTCTATGATCCATTTAAAAAAATAAAAACATGTAGAAAACTCTGGTCTCTATCTATCGAATCATTCATCGGCCATTTTGATGTCAGACCCCCCGGAACCGGCGTCGAGACCTCACCGGCCAATGGCTGTCCGTCGCACCCGCTTGGAGCTCTCCGGTGAAGCTGGCAGCCAAGTCCTGGCACGGCGACTTTAGAAGTGCTGAAACGGAAACGCATGATAGAAAAATGTGTAGATATTTATACTATGTATAATATATATCTGCATATCTATCTATATATATATATATGCATATTTGATCATATTTGTATATCATCCATATACGTCTGCTATAGATTTGGGTATACTTTGGTTGAATCCCTTTTACTGTGTTCTATCAATGCGACAGTTTCATAGAAGATGCAATCGTTTCATAAGCCCCCGAATAACCTTTTGTGTTTCTCTGCTTCAAAATGGACTGCATTTGGAAAGGGAAGTCGCCAGTGGCTCAAACGAAGCATCCTGATAGATTTAGGAACTATAGTATAACTATAGTTTATAATTCCAAATGATTGTAACATATTGTAACAAGGATAACAACCAGTAGATAGTTTTAGATTCCGAAGATATCCTGAGATCATGTTGGCCACAAGGGGGATGGGATCATGGCTGCCCAGTTTGGCTGGGGCCTTGTCCATTTTCAGCAAGGTCTCAGCTAAAGCTAAGGCAGCACCCATCCTTGGAGGCACTGACTCTGCGGATGAACGACGTTGCAGAGCCAAATTCTCTATTTAAGCATTTGCACTTATAGATTCTTCTGTATGATATTATATCATATTATATCATATTACATTATGTTTATATATAGAATATTATAGAATATGTTGATATGATATGGGTATCAATAGTGATACTGATGTCACCAAGAAATCCAGACTGGGCTGTGCTGCACACATCTGCACACCATTTTCTCCCCGCAGCGCCAATCCCCAGAGGCCATGTCAACACCTTCGGCGCTCCAATGAGTCGAGTGGTTGCCACGGATTTTCGCAAGCGGTGCTATGTTATTTTGCTTATTTCAGCCTGGGGGCCAAATTCAACTGACTTGCCCGTGATGTCTTACCATGTCTTACTTCTTTGAGCCTCAATCTTCTTTTTCGTCGGTTTCTTGCTCTCCTGCCCCCATTTGCTGTCGGATGAACCTCAGAAGCAAAACTAGCGACAAGGAGGACACAATCTCGGTGATGAAATAGAAATCAATGATGCAACGTTGAGCTTCATTGCACGGGTGCGTTCCATAGGTACGGCAAGACTCGTGACCACTGCAACTTTTCATCCTCGTATCAACCAAGCGACTCTTCTGGCGTCTGATTCTCTGTTGCATACTTCAAGGCAATCGCCCCCAGAGTCAGCTGAATGAACCTCGTACCAGGGACAGGGACATGACATTGAATATGTTCAATTTAAAAATGCTGCATGATGCCTCCACCAACCATACTATGCCATACACTGATGCACCGAGCAAGGACCCAAGGGATCTTCACGTCCACAATCTGATGCGGCCGAAGAACTTGCTGACGTAGACCGTTACCTGACGCGCGAAGCGAGGTGTGCTCCGGGCTTGCTGCGGAGGTTCGCTTACTAGATCCATTTCAATCACAGAAAGTCACAAAAAAACACTATATATATTATTATATATTATATATTATATATTATATTATATATTATATATATATATATTATATATATATTATATATATAATATACAGTGATTTGAAGTGCCACTTTCGAACGTCACTGCTAATCTTACTTGCACTCGTTCAGAAAGTGAAGACGAGCAGAAAGGGATACAAGATGATACAAGATGATACAAGATGATACAAGATGATACAAGATGATACAAGATGATACAAGATGATACAAGATGATACAAGATGATACAAGATGATACAAGATGATACAAGGAGCTCATGAAAGGCCACTGGTGGAAGCCACGCAAATTTGCCGACCGGAAGTGGGTGAAAACCGTTTGTTCATCTGTTCATTGAGTCAAGGCCAAACATCAACAACTGTGCAGCCAAATTCTGCATGGGTTTCCACTTGGAAAGAGTGGGTACAATATTTCATGGACCAATGTGGAGCCCATCTCAAATTCAGGGAGTTCAACAGTTACGGGGCAAAGATAGATCTCTCCAAGGGTAATGCAGCTCAATTGCAAGGATCTTGACCTCGTTCATTTTTGCCATCATTCCAGCGATGACAATCACTGCGCTGGGAATGGGGATGGGCACCACCTGCCAGTCACTTCTGAGTCCATCATTGAACTGCTGCTTTGATGCATGACCCTGACCAAGCCGACATAACTCGTGATGTTAGTAATATTATATAGCTTGGAAACCTATTGTAACATTCATAGCAACAGGGCAATCAAACGGACTGTGATTTTCTTCCTCCAGACTTCGTTAGAAAGTGTAAACTCTTCAGAAACATCAAAATCCCCGAATCTTAGACGATTTTCCCAGCTAGAAACCTCTTTCATCCTCCATCTGAGGGGATTTCCCAGCTAGCCATTTTCGATTACCAGAGGGAGCCCCAAATCAGTGGCCTGCATGCCAACCAGGCCCAAAACGCCCCAATCATTTGCATAGGTCTGCGCCTCGCCATCGCATGATGTTTTTATATGTTTTTGAGCGGTCAAGAAATGGGGTTCATCGGTTACCCCAAAACATCGGCCTGAGACGAGTTTTACCCGCGAATGGGTGGAACCTCTCAGAATCGCAATGAGTCTTGGTGCACGATTTCGGATGCCGGCAATGGTTGAAGCAAAGGACGTGAAGCAACATTGGGTCATGTCCTGAAACTGGGACCCTTAGATCCGGTCTCATTGTGATTGGAAATTCAGTGCTTAGCAATCCCCCTAAGTTACAGGATCTGCGGCCGAGAATGCCAGCTGGCAATACAGGTGTCTATCTATGGCTGAAGCGTCTCACATGCCAAACCACGCAAATTGGGGAACCCGGAACTTTGCACTTGGGGGCATGTTTGAAAGATACCACATTTGCCATGCCAAACTGGAAATGGTCTAGCAATATTCAAAAAGGGATAACCACGCGAACCACAATTTTGGTCATCTTGAAATCCGAACACATCGTAGCTGATGTTCTGAATGGCCGGCTGAAGAACATGTCGTTCTGCCATCCACCCGTCTACCAGCCTTCGTAAGCCATGTGGAATCTTTCACGCCAGCATAGGCCAAGAGCGCTCCGTCAGACTTCCTTGGCAGCAGGTGGCAAGTATTCGCAGTTCATGGTACTCCCCAATACAATGGGAATACAATGATTGGATAATGATGGATATATTATGATATATTATTGGGAATATAACGGTACTCCAGATATTGAGTTGGGTAACCCTGTAATCATCAACCAACAGTAGCTGACCAAAGCACTGAAAAGAGCACAAAGTTGCCTGCCTTACCAGTACAAACCTGTTTCGGAACAATAAACATTGGTAGTGTGGTTTTGACACCAATGCGGGTAAATGATGGCAAATGGATGTCTATCCGCCATTCACAATGTGTGAAACTCATAGTTTTAGATGGTGAAACCCAAATTTGTTTTTTGGCGATTGACTCAATTGACTCCCAATTTGATATATATATATATGTATATCTTATATGATCTTATTCAATGTTTTTGATCATCCAATTTGCTATACAGTAATTCATAGTAATCCAATTAACCTCATAAATCTATATAAATCTGATCCGAAAAATGGCAGGGCCGTCTACGCCGATGGATGCCGTCGATCAGGGCACATCATCTGAACGTAGAAGTAGCCCGCGATGAGGGATCCGCTACTCAGCATCAAAGGCCCGACGACGAAGGTGTATTTTCGCGACAGGACCACTGCAGCTATCTGCAGCTCAGCACATCTTGGGAATCTGCAGAATCAAAAAAATGGGTTGAAGTTCGGTTGAAGGGTAAAATCGACCGAAAACCATAGTGTTTTTTTATATAGTTGCTTTTTTTACATGTTTGACCCACCAAAAGTTGTGAAAACTGCCATGTTTACCGGTCCAATGGTTTATTTCATGGACAATATCCATCTTAAAATGGATGAAAATTCGAGGTACCCCCATGACTATCATCACTTTGGAAACCTCCATTCAAGCGTTCGTTTCAAGTCCGATCGAGACATATCCTTTGGTCCCTCGACTTTGTGCCAAGCAGCGATGATGTTGAAGAGAGCCATCCTCGGATTTTGCAGGTGCTGTGTGACTGGGGGCCCTGTGGGTCTGGTGAGTCTGGTGTGTAATGTCGGATGCAACAAGCTGGCCCTCTTTGCTGACATGCTGTGATATCTGGCGGCTGGTTGTAGCAGGGTCTCATGCGAGCCGGCCAACTCTGCCAACAGCAAGGTGCAGCGGAGGGTCTGCAAAATACCAACGGACCAAGTTAACACTCCGCCAGTGATGCTGTTGACCGTACACACCTCACAAGCTGTTGGTCGAAGTCTCTTAGGATTTGACAAAAACCGAGTTCAAAGCGGTTTCAAACTATCTTTTACCTTCAACTTCAATCCTTGAGATTTACCAGAAATCATCGAAGATAGACTGATCATCTTTTGATAGATCAATACATTCACACATATTATCATTGTCATCTATCTATACATAGAATTACAATATATACATATGTAGCTACCCACATGTGCATATATATATATTATACTGTATATATTATTACATATACAGCGGACGCTTATGGATAATTACCCGCAAGTATCATGAATACCCCCGGTGCAAGAGTGCATCACCTTGCTCCCGGCTCTGTTGGCTGTGGCACTGCTAAAAGGACAAAGGGAAGCCACCAAGAGTCGCCGTACCTCTTCGGTGTGCAAAATTGCAAGGCATTACAAGGAGCTCAACCTGTGAAAAACATGTGAAGAAAAAGTGTAAAAACATGTGACAAAGATGTGAAAAGTATCTCGCTGTAAAACTGCACACGGTCGTGTCCGTTCATCGCTCTTCCACGTTTGTTGCTTGTACTACTTCCCTGGCCTAGCGGCAGCTAAGGCTACCTGGAGGCATTTCTCCTTCATCGACGCCATGGTCAGCGAAATCTGTGCTTCAGCGTGGCTATTCCTGATATCTCTGACCGTCTGTGTGCAAAATGTGAACAAAAGGATTTTCATTGATCTTCAAGCTACTTTGAAGTGGTGCTTGGGAGTTCATGAACACTGCCAAATGTGATGCCAACATCCAACGACCTCGACCAACGTTCAGGATTATGAGCTTTGGCACTGTATCTCCGTCCAGTCAATCAATTTTATTTGTCATCATGAAGTGTTCATGAAGCCTGAGTCGCAAATCTGCACAAGCATCCAGATCGGAGGTTTTGCTGCTTGCATGTCGTGAGGCACTGAGTGGGGAGTCACATGTTTCTCGAGTCTCAAAGGGGTCACCGTATTCTCTCAGGATCTCTGTTCTCAGTCAACAATGGCATGGACCAAGTGTATCCAAGTGTTCCATTCTCAAACTCGACAACCACCACAGCATCTCTAAGTTCTGTGCTGTTCACCCTGTTCTCCTGCACCGGTTGAATTTTCAGCAGCTCAAACAGCAGCTTTCAGCCATGGATTTTTCGTTGCTCGCCTGTTCGGAGCTTTCCAAAGAGCCATGGGAGAAGCTTTCGCTGAGAATATTCCGGCAGAACCTTGGCTCTCGATCGATATCGACTTGTCAGTTTGCCAACAAATATGGATACCCGAAAAGGGAAGCAGCCACAGCTTGCGAACTGGACAATCACCCTCTCTTAATGGGTATGTATGTGTATATATATATATAGTATCATCTATAAACTGTCCCTTTTCCATGTCTATGTAGAAATTTACCAGAGGTAATCAACAAATATTAACATGATATGTGCCGTGGTCAAGTGTCACGGGTTGATATGGTTTATGGTCATCCATTTCTAGAATGAGAATCCAAAAATATTTTTTATCCAAAACCCTTTGAAAATGGATTGATGACAATCCCTCAATATCGGTGTCTAGTCCATCTTTTGACCATGGCACATGTGAGTATTCAAACAAAAAACAGTGCTATGGAACCAAGCATGATGTGGAATATACTGGAGATGTTGGCACGTTGAAGTAAGAAACCATCATGAACCATCCCATGTTTTACCATGTTTTAGTATCAAGTTGACCTATCTCCCGCATCATCTCCCAATGATCATCGTCGCAGCAATTGCAGCATGTTTTTCAAGAAAATGCACCCATCCACCAAATCGGATCGTGATGTGTCTGATGTGTTGTTCATTTGAACTCAAGCCAAACTTTTAAGGCCAGAAATGACTTGAAATGACTAGATTGATACATTTTGATACCATTTGATACCATAATGACATATAAAATCATATAAAGACGAGCTGTTTTATGCTGTTTTCACAGAGATTCCCGATCTGAGCTTTGCACTTGCTCCATGACCCCAAAAGTCTTGGCTGCTTCCCGTTTCACCTCCGAGACGGGATCGAACAAGGCTTGCTCCAGCATGGGCGCCTGCGGTATGGGAATGGTCGGAATGGTCAATTGAGTCAATGGATCCACAAACTTGCTGAAGTTGCGAAATTAAAATTCATGGCAATGATATGGCTTTCATATGGGTTTTCGTAATATGTTTATATGTTTAATTCTGTGTATGGTAATCTGCATAATCGAACCATCCGTTTTTTTTGTATGTCGGGAATGTGATTTTGAGCCATTCCAAAAGTATCCAAAAGTGTCTTTCACGGATGGCTGAGGCAGAGGCCACCATGGGCAAATAGGGCTTGATAAAATCGACCTTGGCAGCTTGGGTGTCTCGGCTTGGCACATCAGAATATGGCATCGTATGGTACCTACAGCATCCATCATCATCTATCTATTCAATTCTATTCATGCACATTGATGAAACTTGCTGAGACTTGAGACATGATGAAACATCATGGAACCAAACTACCATTTGGTCATTGAAAACACGAAAAGATGACTGTCTGTTCAGGCCCTTTCACACCGGTATCCTCGCTCCGAGGTCAGGACGTTCTGTACCAACTGGGAGGTCGAGCCTGCCATAACTGCGACATGAGCACGGCAAATGTGGATTCATGATGATTCATGACGGGACAAAATGGTAACTTTGGTATGATCAAACCGCACTGGTGACTGGTGACTGGAGACATCTTCGAGTCACAGTGTTCAACTGAAACACTCAAGACCTTTCAAACTGCAAAAACTGCAACAAGTTCAGAATCGAACTCTGAACTTTGGAAGAGTAAAGTCAAGGACGTAAAGACCAAATCCACAATTACTTTGTTGCAGCGCAGTGTGTCACCAATTCACCTCTGGGGCAACTAGATTTTTAGATGAAACATGATGAAATCATCAGGGGAGCTGTTCAAGTAGCTTAGCTTCCCAAAAACTTCCCATGCTCGCTGAATCCCAATCCCTTTCTCAAGATGTGTCAGCAAGACCAAAGATCTGGGCTGACCACTTCTTGCTGGCTGGTTCTCGCTCCCTGGTGAATCAGTGGCCATGATGCCAATAAGACTTGTGGCTGAATCATCTTACCCAAAACAATTCCAGGATGCCTCAAGGATGTCCCAAACCAGCTTTCATTAAATCCTTTAGAGAATTCTATGCTATGCTCAATTGCTCGTCCCAACTTAGTGAAAAACATCTCAGAACTCACTATGGTTGCTGAGCTATGCCACACATTTCTCCCCACATCTGCTGCTCCTTCGCGCCTGAGCCCTCGTACCACAATGGGCATCAGCAGCGAAAGTGATGCCTTGATCCAACTCTGGGGTCATTCCAAAGTGCCAAACTTGAAGTCACGTCTCGGAGCATGTCGAAAATCACATCCCCAATACATCGGTATATCATGGTATATCCCATAGTATCTATATTAGTTGCTTAAATCCCCAGTAAATCACCCATGTTCACAGCGCTTCTAGGCCTCCGACCGCATCTATCAACGACATGAAAGTCTGGTTTCCCATTCTGGCCAGAACGTCCTGAATCAACACGGGAGCGCAAAACAAGCTGGGTGTGTCAGAAGCATCCCAGAAAATTCCACGAAATCTTTACCAAATTTACTATTTTATATTTATTTATATTGGATTATATAATTTTGATTGCAGCATTTAATGGGGGAAACCAATTTGGTAGAGTATCCTGCACTTCTTTGGACACGCCCAAACTGGGCACCAAGGATCCTGTGTATGCTTCTGATTCGTGGGCTCCGCCAATGCAGTGACAAGGTCCTGGCCATTGTAGTGCATCTGACACACAGACACACACACGCACACACACACAGCGCGTGCTCACGTGCATAGTTTCAACCCTTCACAAGCGTCTAAACTTCTACACCTACAACACAGCAAGATGTCATCATCTAAGCAGTCTAAGATAGTCTAAGCCTCTGCTCTGCTTTCCCCAGAAGTTCTGATTTTTCCCCACCTGCGAGAGCTTTTTGATCTCAGGACTGGCCACGAGATTGCCAATCTCCCGGAGAACGGCCTCGATGCGACGCGACGCGGCGACGCGGCGACGCGATGCTTCTGGGGGATCTTCTGGGGATGTGATGTGCAGCAGATGCCATGTGTTGTTGTTTGGTGTCATATCAATATATATCAATATATATCAATTATATAATATATATATATATATATCATTGCATCATCCCATATCATCCCATACCATATAACATATATTTTATGATCTCAATTCTCATTGCATCATCCCATGCATCCCATATCATTCCAAAGAACCGCATCTGTGAGAAAATGCAACGAAAATGGCCTTGATGTCTCCAAACATCTCCGCCTCAGTGCCTAATTTTTTGCTGGACTCCGGGCATTGGTGGCACTGCGAATTTCAGCGCGAACCTGTTGCGGATCAACATTGGGATTTTGATGTGGCAATCCCTGTGGCAATGGCAATGGGAATCCCTTCCAGTTGGGAATGGTTGAAATCCCGTCCATTTTTTGGGTTTTTCATTGGGGATGGTCCAATTATTAAAAGTCGATGATTACAGGTCCAAGGGATGTCCAAGCAACATCAAGATCATCTCCAACAGGTCCAAACAACATCAAGATTCTGTTTCCAAAAAGAGTCTCCTCTCAGACTGAGAGAAACTCAGCCATGTCTCCACTCCCACGGGAGTGATGAAACCTGCTGGTGTACCCCTCCAATTTCATCCATTTTCCTGGTGCTAAAAATAGTTAATGGATGTTAATGGGGTTTCATAATCCAATATGATCCAATCATATCCAATCCATAACTATTGAATAACTAAATTGAATAACTATTGAATAATCATCCCATTCCCATCCATTCCCTCGGTTTAGCACCCGTTTTCGCTACACTGAGCCACCTCCAGAGCCGCTTCCGCCAAGCGCGACAGAATCTGAGGCAGGGATTCCGCCAGCTGTGCAGGAGTGGCGTCCTGGGCCGTGTTCACCATATGGATATGGGTCAAAACCAATAGTACCCCTGTAGTTCACACCAAAATAGCTGGGATTTATGGATGTCAAATGGATGTCCATCCCCCTTTAAATGGTATTATTTATATGATATGTATTTATAGGTATTGATTCATAGCCATATTTCAAGATCTTTCACCATTGAAACCAGCATGAAAATTGGGAGACTCAATCGGTGGTTTCAATCAGAGATAGTGCAGTGTCCCGCTTGAAGACCAACCGTTAGGAGTAAGCTAATTCAAGAGATGGGACATTGAAATACATTTATACCGATTTATACCAATCCCAAAAAGAAGTTGGAGCCGTTGGAGCCGGTAACCATTTGAGTTTGGACCACCGGAGTCGATTTTCCAGGTACCAAATACCGTTTTCTGCAAACGGAGTCAGCCATGCAGATGTGCATCGTCATCGCAGAGAAGCATTGCAAAATACAGACAAGATGGTCTGTGGGGGCCCCCATGTGTTGCACATATCCACTCCAATGTTTTTTCACACATGTCAGACAGTACACATCCTTGTGATTTGGCCCTGAGTCACAACCCGACCCTAGGTGCCCTAAAATAACTGGTGGATTTTGATTCCCCCAAAGCCGGACCCAGTATGGTAGTAATAGGTTTTGACCCATTCCCATGTGTCATGAAGTCATTTGCAATCTTCAAGTGCTGCACTCTTTTACATGTTTTTACCTTTTTTTTTACGGTGGGTCAACCGGAGGGTTCATTGGTTCATTGGTTGTGATCCTGGGATATCCTGGGGAGCCAGACAAACATTTGATGGAGGCATGGCAGAAGCACATCAATGCAGGCCGCCTTCACCTTCCATCGTTTGTCCTGGGGACAGGGACAGGACAGGTCAGATCCTGGCGATGATCAGCTGCTGCTCGCTCCTGCATGCCATGTAGAAGTGTTGGTAGCACCTCAGGCATCAAAGTTGGTCAAAGAGTCCCATGGCAGTCCTGTGAAATTTGCTGCTGCAATTGACTGTGATGTACTATATATGAATATTGCAGCAAAAAAAATCTGCGACAACTTTATCATAAAGGTAGAACATCATCATTATATAAACACCTATGATATCATGTGATATCCATCCATCATTATGCATCTGGAACCTGCAGGGGAACATGTGGCCGCGGATGGCCCATCATCAACATACATCAACCATCATCGCAAGGGTGCCCGCCTCTGATGCAATGCCATGCCCTTTCGGCTGGATATGACTTACTATAGCCTTTGCAGCCTGCTTCGACCATCGGTGGACGATGCGGCAACCACAGTGGTTGTTCATGGAAAAGGTGGAATAAAGTGGACTCGTACAAAGATAGATGTTGGATAAGTTGGATACCTCAACCCTTGGTTTCCCAAATGCTTTCCCATTTCAAGTCTCCTTGGGATTACGCAAGCTTTGGTTGTGCCATTTTGTCTTCCTCACATGGACTTGGAAACAGCCAAGGGGTGCCTTCTGCGCTGGCGCTCCCAGTTTGCTATCTGCAAAAAGATCTATCAACCTGGGCAAAACAACATTCCAAACAGATCCAAACAGCCTCAACGTGGCAAGATGGAGTTCCAAAGCAACGTGGAATAGGTCGAAAGATGTCGAAAGAAACCTATAAAGTGCCAATGCCAACATTCATATTTTATCGCCTTAGCGGAAAACATGCGGAAAACATACAAGTTCTGGGGTATAGCTCAAGAATAGGGTCCTTCAAAGGACCCACAACTTTGGTCCGTTGTCAATCTTTATCCATAGCTATGTCATGCCCTGTCTGTACACACTGACCAAGTCTTGGGTTAGCCACGTAGGCAGCTGTGGAAGCACGAAAGCGCTGGCGCTGCTCAAATTCTCCAAGGATGCCAATGCAGCAGCCTTAGAGGAGACGACTCTGTGTGGCTAGCTTCATCGATTGCTTCGTTTCAATCGATTGTTTGGATTCATACTGAGTATAGCAATCCGCTAGTCATGGTCCTGAAATATCCAAAAATTTCCTAAATCATGGCTGGCTTCACAAAGGGGTCCTCAGATTCCAAACCACCAGCCCAAACCACTGACGAAAATGTGGTAGACCGATATATCCGATATCTCTTCCATCTTTCTGGGAGAATCCTCTGAGGTCACACACCTTTGCCGAAGCAGCATCCTGGCCGCTGTGTCCACAGAAATTCCCAAGATCCTCATTCTATCTCCATTGATCTCCCCATCTCCCGATCTTTCCCGATCTTTCCCGCTCTTGTGACACGCAGCTCTGCTGATGCTACTTACATCTTCCGTATTCTTATATCTAGATAATGTTAAATACATCCCATACCTGATGTATAGCCTGCATTACTTATCTATATCATCTATCTATTCTCACAATTTATCATGTGAAAAAAAAGGTATCTTTTTAAATGACCCAAAATCATGTTATCTTTTTTAACTCTTATCTTTTTCTCAGGTGGTGAGCTCCCTGTAGACAAGAGGTGTGAATTTTCCAGCTTTCTGTGGGTGTGAAGCATCCTTGGTCCAGAGTCAACAGATGTCATCTTTTGCTTTCATTTCCTGTCATCGCCTTTCATTTTGCATTCATTTCCTCTATGTTCCTTTCATGTCGCATTCATGTCCTTTCATTTTGCTTTCATTTTGCTTTCATGTCCTTTCATGTTCCGTCGCTATGTATCAAAGATACAGGTCTTCGAAAGCTTATACGCTCAAGCCGGTCAGGTGGGTATCAGCCCAAACGCTCGCGTTTTTTTTCATATTTTGTTATCGTTGTTATCGTTTAGCTATCGTTTTGGAGGCCTGTGCAGGTTGCCATCTTCAGGTGTCATGAACATGTGCATATATATATATATATATCATGAACATGTGCATATATAAGCTCGTTATCGTTTTGTTTTACTCTTATTGTTTTCTGGGCCGGCAATGCGTTGGCAGTGTTAAGGTGCAAGCCAAGCTAAAATGAAATGCCCGGGGTTATTATATTCTTTATCATCTATTTTCCCAACCAAGCATCCATCAGCCAAAATCTCCGATTCACCATATTTTTGTCCCTTTGTGTCATGGTTTTTTTCTCTGGCTCTTTGGTCTCTTTGGTTCTCCATGTTCTCCACGAAGAAGGCCGTCATGGCATCGGCGTCCAACGAGTAGAGCGCCCGCAGCATCGCCGCGTCGCCCTGGCGCCGCTGCAGGCGCCGGAGCTCCGTCAGGTCGCGCAGCGCCTCCGCCAGGCTGCGACGGTAGGGCCCCGGGCGCTGCGTGCCGTCGGACCTGGGGAACGACATCTGGGGGACTCCCTGGGGACTCCCCTTGGGAGTTGGAAAATTCTCTGGGAATCATGGAAAATGTGGGAAATGGAAAAATTGAAGGTATTTGGTCGATCTTACTCCCAAATGTTTGGTTTTACTGCATTTGTTTCCACTTCAAACCAAGTCTAATGAGTCTAATGTTGGAAAATGGGAGAAAAATAATATGGTTAAAAGGGAAGAAACTAGAAATCTATAATCAAGAACGGGCTGCCAAACCAGGAAATAGCAGTTTAGGGTCGACAATTGAAAGCCTGTTTGCACCAACAGTGCTTGAACATACTTGAACCACATGCTACATATGTACTGACTGACCGCCCTACCGTACTGATTTCAAAGATTCTGCTGACCTAAGCCGTCCACACTGGACACATGGGCGGAAAATCCAGTGGCTGCATTTAAAGATGTGTCCTTTCGAACAAGGCCATAACTGGCCATAACCTTCAATCAGAAGATTAGTGAGTACCGTCATTGATCAGATTGGGTCTAGAAGCCTGCATGGGATGGATCCTCGGAATCTCTATCCGTGGCTATTGCTAACACTGATGCAGCATCTCCTCAGTATGCCGATGGTCGCATACGGTGCCAAGTCGCATGTGAAAGTTGGCACAGAGGGAATCATCCGGCGCCTGAAACGTGTTTTCCTGTGCCAGGCAGTGCCCAAATTGAGGACACCGAAGAAACCTTTGGAATCTCAGAATACCTCCTATCATCCCCAATCTTTTCCAATGTCAACTGCCAAAAATAGCATTTTCCAGAAATCTCATGCATAACTTCAGCCGAGAATTGTTCGACATCAGCCTTGATGTCTCGCTTTACCTCGCCTGGATGTCCTTCGGCAAGACCTTGACGCCCCATTTCTTGAGGAGCTTTGCCTGTCTCAGCTCCAAGCGTTGCAAGATGCCACGAACCTTGCTTCGCAGCCATATGACTCTGGCCTCGCCAACGTCAGGGACCACAATATGGAATACACGAAGAAGCCAACAGAATATGGTATATAGGTGATAATCCAGGTGATATCATTCCAGTCTAAAACTACACTGCTTACATTTTGTGAAACAATTGTAATGAACAAGAATAAGGAATAATCTTATATATATACATATATATACGCGGTGCTGCCGAGACGCAGAGAACAAGCCGGGGCAGCAACTTTTCCAGCTTGTGCATCTTGAGCCACACGTTTGTGGCAGTCGGCTCTTTGAACCACAACCCCTCTGGTTTCGGGTGTGGCTTTCAACAACCCATCCTTTGGATGTCACATGTGGTATACTGCTACCCTTCTGCAGTACTTCACATCAGCTTTCAAAATTGAAACGGTGGATGCAGCTGCCTTTACTTACAGTTCCGCACTCCCCCGTTTTTCCGGGAAAAACTTACTGCTGCCTCGGCCACTCAGTAGTGCACGGCGAAAACGTCTTTGGAGTCGACGCCATAGCAGCTTGTCCACGGGCAATTGCAGCAGGTGGTTGGCGCTGCACCACCACAGGCCCATCCGAAGGTGCTGGAGAACCGATATGGCCCTGCACCATAGTTCCAGAATGGACAGAAGGTGGTCCCATAGATCCGTCCAACCCAGGCATTCCTTGGGATGAAGGCATCATAGGTCTCGAGGTCGGCATAGCCCCAAGCAAACACAAATCTCGAGGAGGTCGCAGCTCATCAGGGTAGCATTCACTACTTTCGTCCACCAGCTGCTGACGCCCAACATTGGCCATCACATCCCATTGCAGCGGCTGCTGCAGAGGGAAACCAGCATCACGGCGTCCCATATCAAGGTATCCGTAGTTGACCACCATTGGGACTGGTGGCGGCATCATCGCAGACATTGCTGCTCCTCGTTCCACATCGACTGCAGCACCAATCCATGGAGGAGGAGGTGCCTTCCTCACGCCACCTCCAACATCTTGAAGAGGCAGAGGAAGTGCCTTCCCAGTCATCGCTTCCACCTTAACAGCAGCGGATCCTGAGGCAGCTACTTTTGAAGAGGCTGCAGCCGCTGCTTCCATCCTCAGTCGAAACGATGGCTTGGACTCCCTGGTCAGCAATTGGGTGGCCATGTAGCCTGGGTTAGAGGCCTCGTCCTCATTCATCACAAAGATGGTGAAGCCCATCCAACGGGAGGTGCCCCTTTCCGGACGGCACTTCCAATCATCTTTCCACACCATTTTCTCACCAGTTTCCACATCAAAGGCAATGGTGCAACGAGCATCGCCCAAGCAAGTGGTATCCACCGGGTTGGTCTTGTGCAAGGGGTGGAACTTGTTGACCCGCACAGTGGGATGCTCACGGACAAGCAACATCTTGCCCCCTCTTCTCCACCGGTCCTTGCTGCCGCTAGGTGCGGTTTGGAACGCTGGGAAATTCTCCATCTCGGTGAAGTCAGCAGCACCGCTAGGAGCAAAGGTTGGTATCCTCAGCGCTTTCAGACATGGCATCGGCAAAAGAGACGCGCCCGGGCAGCCCGTTGGGCAGTGGTTGACAGGGTGACAGCGGTCACTCTCATTTCCAACACCAACTCCAGACGATTCCTCCCCTTCTCCGAAACCCTTGGTGGTTTCCCCAAAACAATAGGTTGGCCCATGCTGACGAAAACTCATCCCTTCCCCAAAAACGGTGGGTTCTGGTCCTTTCCCAAAACACTCTTGAGGGAGACCACCCACACACACCATGTTATGACCCACGGGACTGGATTTCCTTTCTTTGGCCCTCAGCCCCTTTGCTTGTCTCTCATTTTGATTTTTCTTTTGATTTTCTTGTTGGCCAGTGGCTCTTTTGGTTTCTTCCTCCCACCTCCCAAACTGTTCACAAACAGGTTCTTGGCTCTGTACAGGGCCCTGTTTACTAGCACAGGCCGTACTGGTCAAGGCACACGTTAGTGCTTGGACCTTGCTGTACACATCTCGGCTTACACCAGCCTTTGTCCAAGAATTCGGCTTTGCACCTACACTCGATTCTGTACACTCACTCGGCTTTGTACACACCACCTCGCCGAAATCACCCACTGCAGCGCCGCCCGCGGCAAAGTGTGTCAAGAAAGCGATTGCGACCAGTAGCAGCGCATGCCAGAGGGTGCTCAGCTGCGGCGGCCATTGTTGACCACATAGTTCCCCAAACACTGCCGCCAGAGCTCCAGCACGAGCGATCTGCAACGACCTGAGCGCCTTAGTTTCCTTAGTGGACAAGGTGGCAACAGTTGGTACCTCAGTAGGGGCAGGCTCCATGGACATGACTTTCCAAAACCAAATCCATGAGGGACGTGGAGTAACCGCTTTGGTTAAGAAATCCGCACAAAGGTCAGACCCTCTTTGGTGGTGGATACGCCATGTAGGGTTGGGTTCATTGAGCTTCTCCTTCAAGCAGTTTGACCTAAGCCTCAGATGTCTCGTTCTCCAAGACCCATCCGGTTTTGACAGAATGCTCAGAGCACTTGTATTATCACCGGCTATGAGTTTCTCAAAGGTACCATCCCCATAAACGGCAACCAACAGAGCTTCAAGAGATTGTGACATCTGATGGCTTCACAGTATCCTAGCAGTTCACTTTCTGCTGTTGACATGGTCGCAAACGGCTGCCTACTTGACTCCCATTGAATGGGAGCCCCACTATACATGGCTATGACAGCCTGCACACTTCGACCACCCTGGGGTGCAAAGCTTATGTCAGCATACGTTTCTATCAACCGCTCATGTCGCTGTATGGGGAGTTGACCATCAAAACCACGGTCACATGAACAAGGGGAGTAAACCAAACCCTGATCACTGGTGTTGAACAGAAATTCCAGAACCGCTTCACCCACTTGTAAAACCCACCTAGGGTATTTACTTACACCACGACCCATTTGTCCTACTGCGAAAGCTAGGTCAGGTCTGGTCCTGACCACCAGCCATAACAGTTCACCTGTCAGACCCTGGGCTCGTTTGATGGTGCGGGCATCCATGTCCTCATTTTCAGTTGGTGGTTCCAGTTTCGGCATGGGGGCCCAGCGGCCATGCTTCACCTCATACCTTTCCAACAACTCCTTCGTGTAGGAGGGTTGAGCAATCCGGAGACTGTCACCTCTCCACCGCAACTCAAAACCGGCAAAACGTGTCCATTCACCTTCAGAGACATGTTCTGGTTTTGACGTAGTCCATTCTTGACTAAGTCGTTGGAGGAAACCCTGTCGAACACTTTGGGGACCTACAACCAGTAAATCATCAACATAAACCACCAAATGGCCTACACATTCATCATTGGTTTGTGGTACCATGGTGTGCTGATCGATCCCTTCCTTCAACTTTTGTTTCATGATCCGCCATAGGTTGACTTCAGGGGTATTTTGGAGGTAAAACCCACAACCATCTTGAATGCACCTAAAGACCTTGAGCGTTCCATCCCTGTGCCCAGCCCATCGAGCTGGAGAGCTCTGAAAACCGTACAGTGCTTTCCGCACCCGCCAACGTTCGGTAGGACTGCAAACCCCCGCTAACACCAAGATGCGAGGAGGCACCACTATCGTTTCCCGCCCAGATTCCGGAGCAGGCCGAGGAGCCAGCAGAAAGGCGGTCTTGATGTCCACCGTGGACGCACCCCAACCTCTTTGGACACCATGATGCAACACAGTCCGAATTAACGGACCATCAGCTCCTGAAGCGTAGGCGGATCCTGGCAAGGGGTCACTCGATGAGTCCAAGAGGTTACCGCATATTACCCCACGGCATTTCTTACGGCCTCCATTTGGTCCAGCTTTGACGGTACAAACCAGTTTACCGGGTACATACTCCACAGCCGAATCATCCAATTGGTTCACATCAACCTTTTCGATGGCTTGGGTTTCCTCGGTTAAACTACGGTATTCACTCAACATAGCGGGGACCCATGACTGAATATCCTTCTTGACTTCGTCCAGAGATACTACCACAGTTTGTAACACCTCACCATTCTCCCCAAGGTGCACATTACTGGGCAAGCTCCCAGTGACCTGAGTACTACAAAGTTTGACCAGGTTTCGTTTTTCAAGTTGTTCAAGTTCAGTTAGGGCGTGTTCAAGGTTTTCTCTTTCTTGTTGAAGATTGGCCAATGAACTCCCGTAAGTCTTGCCCTCTTGTTCACCCATAGGAACTTGGTTCAATAGTTCATCCATTTGGCTCAACACTTGTTGGTGGTTCTCCTCCAACACATCCTTGAGAAACCCTGTTTTCACCCTACGCACTACTGATTGTTCAACCATTTTTGAAATACTTGGACCACTTCCACCAAGAGGCTCCCCCCCGGAAGGCTCTTCCGGATCCAAGGCACCGACGTCAGCATCATCCAAGGTGCTTTGCGAGTACCCATCTGAGTCACCATCCAAGTCACCGACAGCCCCAGCAGGAGCATCCAAGGCACACGAAGATGAAGCCGCTCCCCCCAACGGAGCATCCAAGGCACTGCCTCGAAGCGGAGGACCCAAGACACTGGCAGCTCCATCTTTTGGAGCATCCAAGGAACGAGGAACGGAAAACCTAACCTGACCTTCGGGGGGTTGTTTACCGTAAACCCTCATGCGTGGTTTTGCAGGGTGAGGTTCTTCACTCATAACCAGCTCCCCCCTTGGTTGTTCCTGGAGCTGTAATGCCACTTCGTCTCCAAGAGGAGAGGGCAAGACAGCTTCTCTCACATGCATGACTTGACCTTGGTCTGTTCTGACCACCCATCCCGAAGACATCAAGTGACTGGCACAAAGGAGGCGAGCACTGACAAAAGGTGGAGCTAATGCACCAGGTTGGTGCCACCGTTTACGTTTCACAGCCACTTGGGAGAAAAACGGCAGCATCGGCAACACGTTGCAACCTAACTTTGAGAGTTGGACCCGCATTCTCTGTTCAGCAGCATACCGAGCGGCCACCGGCCAATGGGACAAGGGTTCACCAGACTGGCTCAACAAAAACCGAATCCTACGCTTTACCTGGTGAAC